CTCCATATGCGAAAAGAGACAAACGAATGCCGCACTTACGCTGAGTAAATCCGATATAAGTGTTTAAACATTATTGAAACCCGCAGAATCGAAAAGCTAATGTGATAGCTACTCTAGAATACTTGAATTATATTTTGTAATTTATTTTGTCGAAATTACAAAAGCACATATTTTGGACTCGTTAGCGCAGAGGCTCGTTTCTGTTTTCTCCCAGATTAACGTACAAATTTCACTTCGTAAGATTCAAACAATGGTAATCGCATCATCACGTTGCTTCAAGCGGGTGCTAAACCGCAGCCTTTTGGGAGGGAGGGGGGCAAAACTGCATCCTTCTCGGTCACCGGTTGGTATACCTCGACCTGTAGGTATCTGTACACTAAACATAGTGATGTGATTTTGGTACGTTTGTTGATGAAAGTCATATTTTCTCATCATTTCCGGCAGAGTTGCTGAGCGTATGAAACGGTTTTTAACGCATCGCAAACGGTTATTCACTGGCTGTCTTGTATGACTGTTTATTAAAAGTTGTTTAATTTGGGTGCTATTAAAAATGTTTCAAAAAACTATAGAAATCAACCTCATTTGGATGTCTGTGAGGTCCTTGTAGAACTTTAAACAGTAATAAGGTTAAATGACCGTTATTCTGTTATTCGATTTGTCGTGGTTATGGTTTCACAATGAACGCACATCGGCGCTCCACTAGCGTTTTCTGTTCTCTACTTTTTGCCTTCTCCGCGTATCAAGTAATTTGGCAGTCGGATTGTCCCAGCATGTTTTTGGACTGTACTGAATGCACACAGTGGTGCATCGGAGCGTAGTTTGTAGTTCTTCACGTTCACCTATGTAAAGTTGTCTGTTAGGCTACCCACGTTGCCAGTCCATCTGCTGGCGTCGTAGAAGGCAGAAATTAAGCCTATTTTGCGCTCGGAACGTGTTCACTTTGGGAGACACTGCATATTCGTCGCTCTATCGTTTCTTGTCTGGCCAACAGCTTGTTTGGGTGGGCTACTGTAGCAGAACGTTCATCGCCTTACGTCAAAGTAGATAGGATAGGTGAATCGAACTGTTCTTTCATCGCTGTAATGATCTTACTGCCGGTAGCGATGTTTCAATGAAGTTCATGCTGATCTGTGCAGCCTTCCTTGTTCTGTTGATTTCCCCGTCCATCTAATGGCCAATGTGTACATAGCTGGCGAATTTCGCTGTGGAAAAACACGTTTGGTGAACACATCATTAAAATGAAATTTAAACGTCATGCGAAAGCAATATACGTGGATGTTTAAAAGTTTCGAATGCGTTTACTGCGTCAGAGTACCCTTACTGACGGTATCTAAGTAGATATCTGCGTATTTTCTTGGACTCTGTGGAAGGGGTGCAAGAAATAGTTTACATTGCTGAAGTGTATGAAAATTCGATATCTTATTTATTAACTTGTCGTTTTCTAGTTCCGCATCGTTAGCTGATTGTCCATAAGTTCTTGATGAACTTCAGTGACTGCTGTAGCATTTAACTGAACACTTCAGGCTGTAATTGATTTGGAGTGCAGTTCCTTTCTTTGTATTTTAGGCAGCCTTTTTTATGGAAGTGCTAGGTTTGACAAAATGAAAAAGAGACCGCAAAATTCAGTTTAAGCTATAGAAAATATCACCGTCAGGAGAAGTAATCTGCTTGTTCCATCGACCTGGCATACCGTTGTGAATTGAAACTGAGTTTTGATGCAATTCAAACCGTTCTACGGTTTACGGTTATGCGAGATTATTACTATGAATGTTCCTGTTTTTG